TCTGTCTTGTACTTTTTTCACTTTGCAGTATTGTCTTCATAGACAGGGTCCGATAGTCCACAGAAACCTTACCTATATTTTTATTGAGCATTACTAGTGAACATCTGCTTACTGTCCTATAGTTTTTAAACTTTTATCAACTTTTCAAACATGCCATAGTACATATTAATGTGACCTTGACTTAGTTTCTAAGCATAGCGCTAAAATTAATTTTAGAATATCTTGCAAAGTACCTTGGATATAAAAATTATGATTCCAGTTGTATAACTTACATAGCTGTCTTGAGAAAGTTGAAATCCTTTGCTACCTTTTAACATGTATAAAAGGTAAACCACAAGATGTGCTTCCATACTATATGCAGTAAGCCGTATCCCGTGGATCACACAGCCTTCCCTTTTTGTATTGCAGGCTGGCAGATAAGGAAGCCGTGTTGCTTGGTGTTGGGGACCGTGGGCTCTGAAGGCAGAATGTCTGGGGTCAAATCCAGGTTCTACCATTTCCTAGATTTGTGACCTTAGACGAGCTAACTGCTCTCTGGGCCTCAGTTTGCTGATCTAAAGTCTAAGATAATGTGTGGCACTTAACTGTCCTAAAATAGTTCTCAGTGTTAAAGTTTAAACTGGAATAGAGTATAACAGTGCCTGGCAATTAGGAAGCAATTGGGGATTAATATCTAACGTTCGGGGTTCAGAAGTCAGTGTGCCTGCTTTCAAATCAAGATTCCGCCGCTAAATAATAATTTTAAGAACTCAAAAATTACATTTTTTCCCCCCTGAGCTTCATTGCCCATATCTATACACTTGGGTTGTACTGAGGTTGTGGCTGTGTGCTGTTAGAGATTTTTGAAGATCCTCCTTAAGAGGTATTATATATGCATTTTTAAAATATAATTTACTTGTTTGCAGTGGATGATCTAGAATGTTTTGAAAAAAAAAAGTAGGTTTATATGTAGGTAGGTAGATTAACCTGGATCTTAGAAATGTTTATGCTTCATAAGCAGATTCATAATAGAAATAAAATTTTGGCGGTAAATTTCCCTCTTATTCTGGATGAAAATATATTTTATATTCGTGAGATCTGAGTTAGTATAATTTCAGTTTTTTGATGGGGTTGTAACATTTGTCTTTAGTTTAACGTTAGTGTATTTCTATTGCAGTTTCATGCACAAGTGGCATTTATCCAATGTTTTCACATTTAGAACTGTAACCGGCCAACTTCTGGCATCATGTCATTTGAAACAAATATTATTCTAATCCTGAATATAGGGTGAACATAGAAGCCTGAAGCTTTTTAATACTTTCTGTTAGAAACTATGTTATTTATTTCTTATCGACAACCATGTTATCATTTAAAAATCTTAAGTGTGTACAATTGTTTCAGGGAAGGTAGAACACGGATGTTTGGTCAGACAGCGGATGAAATGGGAGCTCCGTGAATGGTGTCTTTATATGAGACATCTTTCTCCTTTTCCTCATGGGGAACGATGTTTTGTTAGTTTGTCCCATGTCACGGTATGTATTTATCTAAAAATGTGTAAAGTAAGAGACTCATCATTAATAAAGCCTGTCTCCTGTCCTGTGCCCCTGGGGCTGTGTGGGTCAGTGGATCTTTGACATGGATGAGGGTAAGCACAGGGAGCACTCCCAGATGGTTGGTACCTGTCCTGCGCCTCGCCAGAGCACCGGGCTCTTCCCCTTTCCCAGGCGTCCACACAGGAGCGTCCTGCTGGCCTTTCCCATGTAACGGGTCAAGCACTACACTCACTGTCTGTCTGTCCTACGTCCCTCTTTAGCCCCACTCCCTCAACCACATGCCTGCCTTATATTTTTTCATTTGGTTAATGGTGTTACCATTCACTTAAGCTGGAAACGTTAGAATTATCCTACCCTCCCCTTCATCCACACTCTCTACGTTGGGTTTCCTGAAACAAAGACTAGAATTCGCTTCTCTGTGTCACTGCTACCACTTGATTTAAGGACTCACATTTTCTCTCTTTCTCTCTCTCCCAATTAATTTTTTTTTTTGGAGGGGAAGCAAAAACAAAACAAAACAACAACAAAAACACACAAACAAACAAATAAAAAAGAACCTAAAACCTCATATTTTGCCACCCTTCACTTTCTACTGCATTTCAGCTTTCTAATTGTTTTAAGCAGAACAGCTCAACAAGTATCAAAGATTGAGGATGACATCGAAGGTTCTTGGATGTTTCAGACCTTGCTTTCATCTGCAGTCACGGCTCGGCGGGTATATTTTTATCTCTCCTGAACAAACATTCACTCACTTGCAGTTGTTTATTTAATGTCAGCTCCGTGGCATGATGCTGGGTGCTTTGAGAAGACAGGTAACCAAGAGAGCCTGGAGGGTGCCCCATTAGCCCGCAGAGAATGCGCGCACATTGTCTCTGTGCCTCTGACCATGCTCTTTCATCTGCTCTTTTAGTGTTTAATAGCATTCTATTAATTTTTCATGCCCTGCTCACGTGTCATTTCCTCTCTGAAGTGTTCTTAACTTCCCCAAGTAGTATTTCTTCTTTGTGCTCCAGTAATGCTTGATACTCAAACCTCTGGTCCTTACCTTGTCGTACTTGTTTATAGTTGATCTTTCCCCTAGCTTAGATTTAAATATGGGAAGGAGGGAGATGAAAGAGGAACACAGAAATAAGGATTGAGGCAAGAAGGGAAGGAGAGAAGGAAAACAGGACAAGCAGGATGAAAAATAGTTGGAAACATACTCTGAAGCCAGACAGGGTTTGAATCCCGACTCTCCTACTTCACTGGCTGGGCACAATGTTTCTATCTTTGTATCACAATTTATAGCGGGAATAACAATAGCATAATTGTGAAGATTACAAGAGTTCATCTATGCACTAGTAAAGTGTTTAAAACAGTGCATGCTGTATGTGTTTATTGATGTTTTTATTAGCAATAGCTTTCCTAAGTGAAATGAGCTATGTTTTCTTTCTCATTCCATTTTCTAAGAAATGGAGATTTTTCAGGCATCCAATTTCTGAGTGAGTTTTGGGCCTGGGGTAGAGCGGAGCTCCTATACGTATATGCTATTTACGGTGGAATAGTGACTATAAGGATATTGTGCATTTTGCTTCTTCGTAAGCATTTTGCCCTTTCTTACCAGATTCTGTCTTGCTTCTGACCTTCCTAGCTTTTAGAAATCCTGATGGTGATTCTTCTGTTTTCATTGTTATCGCAACGTTTTGGCTTGGTGCACACCACTGCTTTTGTCATTTACCTGAGATCTTTGTAATAAAATATTATTTTCTTTCCTGATTATTCTTCAGCCTAAAAGCAAGGAGGGCAGGACATAACTGTCTTCTTAGTTCTAGTAACAAGAGCTGTTCCTCAGCATCAGCCTGGTGCTCACATAGCACTCCCCGTTCCTATCCCCTCCAGCACTCTCGCTCAGTGTCCTCCAGGACATTACCTCCATTCCTATCCCCTCTCTGCTCCCACCCTCTGTCCCAAGACCGTTGGCCCCGCTGTGAACAGGTGCAGTGTCCTATCAGTTCTACACCTGGCATGTCTGGCTTTCACAAGGAATGGAAATCTAGGAGGTTAGAGCACTCCTCATTGGCTGGTTGGTGACTTCATTTTAAACACGAGAGTTGGATGCTAATTGTCAAGGCTCTTTCCACTAAGAAAAGCATCTTGGAGGAGATGGTATTTTAGTTGCTCCTGGAGCAGTGGAGGAAGAAAGCAGGTTGTAGATGGTAGAGGGTATTTGAGGCTTAGGATTTATTCTCAGTTGATACTTGAATGTTTATCTTTAAGGCTCTGGGGATACAAAAATTGAGTTCCTGTTACCCCCAAATGATTGGCATGGTGACAGATATGGCAGATGTTGAAAGGAGAGAGGGGTTGCTGAGGATTGGCGAAGTTGGGAAAGATTTTGTCTGTTTTTCTATGCTACAAGATCTCCGTGGATGATTTCATGTGTTCCTTTGAGATCAGATTTTCTTGGGAACCTGGGGGTTCATCAAAACAAAGTTTTATTGCGTTTCTAGAATATACCATGATCTCCTGCCTCTGCACCTTTGCACATGCTGTTTCTGGATAGTGTTAACTATCCAGAATAGTGTTAACTATTAGTTAACACTGGATTATTAGCCTGGATAGTGTTAACCTAGCTGATTCTTAAAATGTAATCACAGAGGTAGTAACTTTCAGAAAAGCTTACTGGATTTTTCAGCACTGGATCAAGTGTTTCTATGGGTTTCTATATTCCCTACCTCTCACCCCTCCCCATGTCACAGCCATGTTGTAATTGCTTTCACCAGACTGTTCACGGAAAACAGAAACTGTGTATATGGTCATGCTTGGTGTATGGCTGCTGCTGCAAAAATATTGGTTGAATGAGAGTGGGATATGGTAGAGGGAGGGTATGATAGAGAGGAGACTTGCTCATTATGGGAAGAGAGAGCAATGGAAAGAGAGAGAGCGCAAAAACAAGGTGTATAGTAATTTATGCACCTGATTCTGAGACAATGAGTGGGACCATTTGATCGGAGTAAAATACTGAAGAGCGAGGCTGGAGCTTTGAATGTCAGGTTAAGTCCAGAGTTTGTTTAATAAAAAAGCCACTGAAGCTTTTAGAGATATGCATAATAATGTACATTCTCACAAATTTGATTAAATAATATGCTCTTGCATGGGAAAATTTTTTTTTGTAATTCCTGCATTAAATTTTTTGTAATACTCTTCAATGAACTAAATGTAAAACTGCCAAGTTTGAAGACTTTGTCTTTTAAGATGGTTCTAACATAATATATAGGGAAACCTTTAGAACAGATGAACAAATTTCCTTGAGTGAATTGAATAACTTGTTAAACTGTGCGGTTTGTCTTATAAACTAAACTCTGGTGAATTGTGACAGTTTTAAAATGTAATTTAAAAAAGACAGTAATCTAACATTTCTATGGGGGTTTCCTTATTTGTAGCTAAAAGAGGAGTGGATGCTTACAGCTGTGACTTTTCTCTCTCTAGTCTCTCCAGAGGCAGTTGGATTTCTGTCAGCGGTTGGGGTGTTTATTGTCCTGATGCTGCTCCTTTTTCTCTATATTAATAAGAAGTTCTGTTTTGAAAATGTTGGCGCATTCCCAGATCTTGGTTCAGGATACAGTACAAGAAAGAATTCACAAGATAAAATTTGTAAGTATTATCACTGCTTCTCGTTTGTTCTTTGTATCTGTACTGTCCTATTATTTTTAAAAATACATACTGAAAAAAATTGGTTTTGACATACTACCAGTGAACATTTGAACCACTATTCTGTGAGAATAAAAGATCTATTAAGTACATTAGGTTCAGTAATCTTTCTGTTGTCCACAAATTGCTAATATAGTGCATAAAGATAAATTGCCACTACTATACAATAACTTATTTTTTAAGATGAAAGATTGACTTTTGAGACTATAAAGTTAATAGACACACTTTAAGAAGAAGGGAGAATTTTTTGTTGCTTTGTCTAGCTTAAATCTCTTATCCAAATAACTCTTGAAATAGCTTCCCTTCCACCGCCATGTCCCTAGAAAGCTTTTGGAAGTATTCACTCTTTTCTTTCCCTGCTGCTGGGTTCTCAGCTGATAGATAATTGGATTGTCTGGAGAAGGTTTTCTTTAGTAACTTGGTGTATGAAGTCTGGTTAGAAAAATGAGTGTTCCTTTCTCTTTCTTGGCATCACTGGCATTATATCACTCACTGTTACTCAATCCCAGGAAAGACGAGGGAGGGCTGTAATACTGTTCTTTCTCTGAAGGAAACATTTTCCTTGGAGCTATTTTTTAAAGTTATTGAGTTCCTTATTTGCTGTTTCCGAAGACTGGGTTGTATAAGTGACAGCAGGGGCAAGTTGACCATTACCAAAGGGAGTTAGTGTGGAAGAATTGTTAGGCACTACACAGAAAGATTTTGCTTTGCTGGTCTGTGTGCATGTATTGGAGAGATGTTCTTCTCTTCTGGCAACTTAAAAAGTGATCACCTCATTGTAAAAATCGATTTGCTATTGAATTACATCTGTCACTTGCATTAGGAAGCTATAGTGCTTTATGTGGTTTTGACTTGTTTTTCATAATTCAACCCTGCATGTTGAGCATTTGTAAAAAATGAACTGGTTAAAGCTGTCTCTGGGCAGCCTCCAGTAATTCTCTGGATCAGCATTTGTGATGTTCCTTGGTCCCATGACCCCTTTACATTCTTTTTTTTTTTTTAATATATTTTATTGATTTTTTTACAGAGAGGAAGGGAGAGGGATAGAGAGTTAGAAACATTGATAAGAGAGAGACATTGACCAGCTGCCTCCTGCACCATCCCCACTGGGGATGTGCCCACAACCAAGGTACGTGCCCTATTCTAGAATCAAACCTGGGACCTTTTAGTCCGAAGGCCGACTCTCTAGCCACTGAGCCAAACCGGTTTCAGCCCCTTTACATTCTTAAAAAATTATTGAGGTCCCCAAAGGACTTTTGTTTATATGCATAATATTAGAAGTTAAAGCTGAGGAAAGTTTAAAAATATTTTTCTCAGCTTACTTATTAAAACAACAATAAGCCTATGACATGTTAATATAAATAACATTTTACTTAAAAGGGATATTTATTATAACAAAAAATTTGGTGAGCCGAGTGACATTATTTTACATTTTTGGAACATCTCTGATGACTGGCATGGAGGAGAGGGACAGCTGGGTCCTCACATCTGCTTCTGCATTCAGTCTGTCACGTAGTCACTGAAGATGCCAGGGTTCTTTTGTGAGCAAATAAAAGTGAGAGGATAAATATCTCCTTACTATTATTATAAAAAATAGTTTTGACCTTGAGAATCCATTGGAAAGTTCTCAGGGATCTTAATTTTTCCGAGCCTATTTTTTTCTTTCCCTTATTAAATAGGAATAATTGTGTTTATCTCCTAGAGTTGTTATAAGATCAAATAAGGTAAAATTTACAAATCACAATGCTTTGCATGTCATAGCTACTGAGAAAAGGTTCACCCTCTGTTCATCCCCGTTCTAACCTCTGTGCACACTTGCTGACATGTTTCCCCCTTTCTGTTTTTCTTAATTTGAAGTGGTGTTGGTAGTTTGTTAATAAGATAGGGTAGTTCCCCTGCATAGACTAGGAATAAATTAACAAAAAGTATATAGTAAAAATCCTTTTTATACTTCTTCTTACAGGTATAGAATTAAAAACCAATAGTATTTGAGGGGAAAATGATTGTCTTGCTGCTGTTATGATAGCTTTGGAGTGGGGAAAAAAATATCATTATACTTAAAGCAAGTGGTTTGATTTTTCTTTTTTCTGGAAGAGTCTTTGCTTCGACATGCTTCTTCAAATGCATAATGCATTTACAGAAAGATTTCAAAAGCCACCATGCGAAATACTAATATCGAGCTCAGAAATAGCAACACTTAAGCAAATGTTAAATTCAAGTTCCAAGTGGTTGATATTTTGAGAAGAGGAAATTTCATTGTACCTCGTAGGGACAAGGAAGTAGAAAATGGCATTTTTCAGAAAACTGCAGCGAAGCCTGCCCTCCATGTCCTCGCTGGTGGACACAATCAGTAACGCGGTGGAGGACCTGACCACCGTCGTCGGGGAGGTCAGCTGTGCTCTCAGCGACGCGGTTTCTGAACAGGTGACCAGTATGATGAATGGCTTGCACCCAGAAGAGGAGAGCTCTGCAGCAGCGGAAGCTGCGGATGCTTCTAAACAAGAAGACGCCATGTCACCAGAAATCTCCCAAAACACCGATTGTCAGGAAACACCATCCAATGGAGAGCACACAGCAAATCAAAGGAATTGTTACCCGACTTCAGTTTCACAAAGGCAAGATCAAGGAACGAATGAAGAAAGACGGTTTGAACAGATTAATGATAGGCAACAGATGCTATCCAAATGTCAAGAAACCAATAATGCTGGTAAATCTGTGGAAGGCCGTGTGAGTGAGGGTGGGACATCAGTTGTTGAGCAGAAGAATGCAAGGGCTGGATCTACTTGCCAAGAACGTGGACCTACAGACAGGTATAAAAACATTGGCTTAGGAATGTCTAGTAATGGTAAGAATGATTTAAAGGAGGGAAGGTATCAAGAAACGAGAGAAAAACATTTAAAGAAAGCTGAAAGCCACATTAAAAGGAAAGGGCCGAAAGGAAATGAGTGTCCAGGAAATGAGAACTCTCCAAAAGACATCTTGGTGAGCAATAGACATACGATAAGGAAATCCACTATGAAAGAAGACAAACATCTAGCACCGTCAACTAGCTCTAAAGATAAATTATATGGAAAAATCAAAGAACATATAAATGCAACAAAAGGCTCCAAAGGGAAAGGAGACATAAAAGCAAAGAAAAGTGAAGCCATGTCTGCCAAGAAAGGAAAAGCAAAGAGTAAAGATGAAAAATATTCTAAGATAATACCAGGAAAAGGTGAGGTCTCCTATTGTGGATTTGAGTGGCAAAATTTCTCTTGATTTTTGAAATTAGGAAAAATATCCAAATTTCTGACCTTTCCTATACATGCCTATATATCTGCTTTGAGACTTTCTGTATTCTTCTTGCTGGGAGACATGTTTAAAGTCATTCATTTTTTTTCTCACAGTCATTTCAAAGAGCAATACACACACTAAATATTGCCTCTGGTCCCTGCATTATTTGGCCAATTTTCAACAACCTTAATTTTTTTAATGTCTGGTTTGTTGTTGGTTTTTTTTTTTTTTTTTTTTTTTTTTTGTGTGTGTGTGTGTGTGTGTGTGTTTTGTTTTTTTACAACCAGAAACTTCATGGCTTTCTTTAGTGTGAATCCTTAAGTTGGAGTTTATTTTTAGTTGTATTTAAATTTTATTTTTGAAACTAACACTAAAGTCCTTTGTACAGGGTTGATCTTCAAGTCCATCCTGGTTGGTACCTATATCAAGTGTTTTATATTTTCCTTTGGGAGCAGTAGATTTTATTTTTTTAGTAACATGCTTCAGAATATGTGTCTGTTCATTAGCCATACATGTTCATACAGTGAGTATACATAAATAATCTATTATTATTCATGAATTCTCTATAGAATTAAGATTCCAATCAAACATTTATAGTTTTCCACCACAATATGTATAACAGTTTTCAAAACAAGGCAATAATTATTTGGTTTTGGTTGCAGAATTGCTTCAGAATCCTAGTTATTATTTCTATTAATTCCATAATCATTCCCATTTATTGCTGGTCTGATCCCAAGGCCAAAAGTACACTGGCTTTAATTTATAAAATATGTACCTAGAACTTTTCAATAAATTTAGATTCTCATAAAATAACAAAATATGAGTAATAGTAGAAATGAGGAATACTTTTTAAGTTCTGCATGGCTTTATATGGAATAAGGATCTGCTATTTATCAATTGTATAAATGGGTATTTTTTAAAAATAATATAATAGAGGCTGACCCAGGATGAATGAGCTAACTAAAAAGGAACACCAGTTTTTGGAAATAGTGTTAGCCTTCCACATCTATGGATTCCATAATTGTGGATTCAGCCAACCACAGATTGAAAAAATATATAAATATATACGTAGATATATGTATTTTAAATGTTACTTTGTTGCTGACATGTACTATGTAGTTAGACCTGTGGTAGTTGCATCTATACTGAACATGTACAGATATTTTTTTCTTATTATTAATCCCTAAACAATACAGTATATCAAGTATTTACATAGTATTTATATTGTATGGTATTATAAGTAATCTAGAGATGGTTTATTTTTGCAGCATTTTATCCCTTTATATATTATTTTTTATTGATTAAGGTATGATTTAAAATATGTGACAGGATGTACATAGGGATTTGAGCATCCTTGGATTTTGGTACCTGCAGAAAGTTCTAGAACTAATCCTCTGAATGCCAAAGGTCAACTCTATGTCCATTTTGGAATCTACTCTTCTAGTAGCTTTTTGAATGTTAGGCTCAGAGGTTTTTGGTAACCTATTATTACATGAAGTAGCAGAAATAAAGAAAGACATAAATATTAAGTATTTTACTGGTGGGACTTAAACCAGGTGACACCTAAGCTCTAACTCTAAGCATTTAATTCCTATCCCATATTGTAAAATTACTTATTCTGCATCTCCCCACTGGATTTCAAACCTTGATTTCTTTGGTACAGATCATCTCAACTCAATATAAAGAAAAAAACATCTAGATCTCACAAAATCTACCTTCTGTGGTCTCTTCATCTTTCTGGAGTTGATTTATAATTCTAAGGAGGTTGCATTTTAGTTTAAATGCATCTTAGCAAGCTGCTGTTTTAGAAGTTTTACCTTTTTAAAAGGTAATAACTAGTGCTTTTAAATATAATAAACAACTTATGCCACCTAAAATTTTTATATTAAATATAGGTATATGTAAGAAAAACTTTTCCTAGTAATTTCACCATTTGCAGATTAAAGTGTTAAGTTTTTATATATCTTTCCACACATTTTTGTATGTATATATAAATATGTACTGCGTGTGTGTGTATCTACTGCATGTAGGCAAGTGTTTGTGTGTGTGTGTGTGTGTGTGTGTGTGTGTGTGTGTGTGTATAATATAGAGACTATGAATATACCTTCTATTTTATAGCCTTAGTTATTTTTTTCCCTGTGAGTTCTTGTAAGTTGACTTCATTTTCATTCACTGCGTAGTATATCATTGCATTGATATATCATAATTTGCTTAACCAAGGCCTAGTGATGGATGTTTAGGTTTTACTTAATTTTTTGTTTTCTTTTGCTATTGAACACAATGCACTGAATTGTCTCAAATATATATATTTTCTCATCTATTACTTTCTTAGGCTGAAATGGAATTGATAAATTCTTAGAAATGGATCAAATACTATACAGAGTTAAAAGCTTAATATGCATTACCAGATTGCTCTCTAGAAAAGTTTTACCAACTATAATTTCACTAATAATACAGGGTGGGCAAAAGTAGGCTTACATTTGTAATACAAATAATACAATTGTAGTAAGTAATTCTCTGCCCGTGTGGCTCAGTTGGTTGGGGCGTTGGCCCATACACCAAAAGGTTGCAGGTTTGAATCCTATCAGGGAGTGTATAGGAGGCAACTGATCGATGCTTCTCTTTGTATCACTCTCTCTCCTTCTCTGTCCCTTCCTCTCTCTCTCCCTTTCTCTCCCTTCCACTCTCCAAAGTCAATAAAAAAAATATTCTCAGGTGAGAATTAAAAATAAATAAAATCTGTTTCTTTAGATGTCTGTTTCACATATACAAACTATAAACCTACTTTTGCCCTCTCTTGTATCGATACATGTCTGCCCATTTGTCTGTTTCATTCCTAGTATAAGAATTATCTATTTTGAAAATTTCAGCTAAGGTGATATCTTTTGTAACATGAATTATTTAATCGTGCCCATATGTTTTGGCAATACCTATAACATCCTTTGTATACTACTGATCCTTTAGAAAAATTGTGTAAAATGACGGGCCCTATTATTCTCTTTATGTGTAACATTGTAGGAAAATCCCTGTGACTAACATTATTTATGTCATTGGAGTATATAATACAAATGAATCTTTTTCTATTAAAACATAAACTCTAGCCCTAGCTGGTTTGGCTCAGTGGATAAAGTGTTGGCCTGCAGACTGAAGGGTCCTGGGTTTGATTCCAGTCAAAGGCATATGCCTGGGTTGTGAGCTCAATTCCCAATGGGGGGGCGTGCAGGAGGCAACCCATCAATGAGTCTCTCCGTTATTGATGTTTCTATCTCTCTCTCCCTCTCTCTTTCTCTCTGAAATCAATAAAAATATTTTTTAAAAACCCCTTAAAATCTAAATGTTGGGCTTTAAAAAAATAGTCTTGGGCTTTTTGAGTGAAAAGTTTATCTTGTGTTTGTTTATATGTATTTATATATTTGTGTGTACATGGATATATATGACATATATATATCTGAGTATATTGATTCTATATATATACGTGTGTGTGTGTGTGTGTGTGTATAAAAACTATAACAAATTCATCATCCTTTATTGCATTAAAATTTTGATTTGCTTTCCTTGTTGCAAATAGATAATTCCTACATGGACAGAGATGAGCACGGCTCATCCTCTGAAAGTGAAGATGAAGCGCTGGGTAAATACCATGAGGCCTTATCCCGAACACACAATTCCAGACTCCCGTTGGCTGATTCTAGACAAAAGAACTATACTTGGGAAACAAGACAAAAATACAGTCCTCTGTCTGCAGAGTATGATGGATACAGTAGTGAAGCATCCATAGACGAAGGTAAGATCAGTTTCATTTTTTTTCAGATGACACACTATCGTGTTAGGTAAATTGTGCCTAATGTTCTAGGCATCTGAGGCTGCACAGTCAACAAGAGAGAGCAGGTACAGTAGAGTCACATTTCTGGGAATATAACTGATTCATATTTATAATCTTCGGGCTCACGCTGAAAACCAAAACACCCAACACGAGACACTAAATCATTTAAATACAGTAGTCATTCTAGCTCTTTTTCCACCATGAGCGTATGCCCAGCAGGCATGAGGTGGAAGATGGGGATCCGCTGTTCTCTCAGATGGAACCAGTTCCTGGACACCTGTTTTGGTCTAAGTACCTCTGAGTGTTGAGTATGATGCCCGCATGTAAATGTGTGCGCTTCCCTTCACTGTGGCCTCCGAGCATGAGCCACATGCTCCACGTGGCATACAGCAGAGGAAATGGTGATGTTTGTTCCGCGCAGGAGGAAACACTGCCCAGATGGGTTTACTGAGAGCTGGTACTGTATTAGACTGGGCTTTAAGAGTGATTTAAGGACTTCTCAAAGATCGTTGTGTCTCTACTTGATTTTTGCCTCATGAACTGACATTGACTGTAGAACTGTGAAGAAGACATAAGCCCACTCTCACATGTTTTTATATCTTTCTACAAGAGAAGTAAGAGGTTTTGACAATTGAGGCATGTTTATTTCCACATTTAAGTAGTTGTTCATGTGCTTTTTATAACACAGGACTACTCATATATATAATCGTGATCTTTATACCCAAATCTGAAGAAAAGAGCAGTGTATCTTAGCGCATTACTATACCAAACCATCCTTCATTGTATAGCTGTGGTTGGTGTTTTAGGGCCTATGCCAGTTGATGACTTAAAGTCTTACCCCAGCACGTACTGAAGTCAATGGAGCTACATCATCTTTTTAAAATATTTGGCTTAATGCTAACTAACGATCAATAAACCTCTTTTTATTCCTACTAGCAACCAATATTTCTACTAGAAACTAATCGAGTACTGATGGATTACTATATAGAAACATCATTTTGAGATGCTAGAGAAGAAATAAAGCATATTAGACACGGGCTGTGCCCTCACAGATACTTTCTAGTGATGACGAAAATAAGACGTGTGTTCACAAAGGTAACCAAATAGTGCAAAGCCAGTCCCCAAATTGTTGACACCCCTAGTGCGTGGATAGCAGAGCAGAAAAAGGAGTTTGAAGCCTGACCCTTTTTCACATCCGGCTCTGTGACTTAACATATTAACTAGGAAACCTTGGGCAGTGCAGTTTATTGTTGATAGGTTTGTTTTATTGTCTCTGCAACGTGGATAACACCTCTGTGACAGGGCTGCTATGAACGCCGAATGACATGTGTGGTCATTTGCAGCACAGTGTCCACAGCGGCAGGGAGGTGGTCAGTAAATGGTTGCTGTCAGGGCGAGTGGTGAAAGCAGTGGTGGAGATGATAGGAGTCATGAGAGAGGCCCAAGTTTGTAATCTGTGACCCTCAACACATCTCTTTTTGTTGCTTCAGTTTGGGATTTTTCTGCTTCCCTATTTATTTCTCCTTCTCCCGCATCCCCTACACGTCCCTGCTGTCCTGGTAGCTTCTTCCCTGTGGTCCTGCTATCCTAGCGTTCCGTTCTTGCCTAAATCACTGGAGCTGGCGAATATTCTACCTAAATAGGTAGGACCCATCTGTACTTTTCTACCACGACTGCCTTCAATTATTTGATAAGACATCCAGGGTAGGTGGATTTTAGGCATTCTGTAATGAGAATGATTTATTTCATATACACTTGTTGAAGTCTTTTTATGTGCCATATACCAGGGGCTATGGGTGAAATAGGAATAAAACGAGCTTCTTTCAAAGAGCCAGGGACTGAGGGAGGAACACCATGAGGACATGTGCACTGTGATGGGATGAGAGGTCTGTTGGTTTCATGAACAAAGTACCATGGAAACACAGAGCAGGAGGAGGCTCTGACTTCTTTTGGGAGGTGGGCAGGTGGGGATGTCTGATGCAGTCTTTGCGGAATAGGTGAACTGGACTTGAGAGAAAGCTCCTTCAACACCATGGAGTAGTGTGATTGGGTGAAAGCAGAAGAGCTTGTACTTCATGGTATAATTTAGGGTCTGTGTTTAGAGAATGGGCAGTGATAGGATTGAATGCTCAGGAGATTGGACATTGTCTCATGGGAACTACAGAGTCCTGGGAGGTTTTTAAGCTGGACCGTGTTGTATGTCTCTGGATCTATTTTATTAGTTTATTTTTTTCGTCAGCTTCCACATATGAGTGAGATCATGTAGTAACTATTTTTTGAAAACAACTTTATTGAGATTATTTTTACATGTAAAATTTACTCATTTGAAGTGTATGATTCATTGATTTTTAGTAATTTTACTGAGTGGTACAAGTATCACCACAATTTATTTCTAGAGCATTTTCATTTCCTAATAAGATCTGTCATGCTCACTTACCATTAATCGTCATTCTCACTGTCCGTCTCAAGCAGTCACCTGCTTTCTATAAATCTGCCTTTTGTAGATATTTCATGTAAATGGAACCATGAAATCTGTAGTCTTTTGTCTGGATTCTTTCTCTTAGCAGGTTCATTTCTTGATGAAGATGTGTCAGTACTTTGTTTCTTTTGTTTTGTGTTTTTAATCCTTACCCAAGGATATTTTTCCATTGATTTTTAGAGAGAGTGGAAGAGAGGAAAAGACAGGGGGAAAATAGATGTGAGAGAAACACATTGATTGGTTGCCTTTTGCATGAGCCCTGACCAGGACCCAGGCCAGGAAGGAGCCTGCAACCAAGGCACTTGCCTTTGACCGGAATTGAACTTGGAGCCCTATGGTCTGCAGGCCGATGCTCTGTCCACTGAGCCAAACTGGCTAGAGCAGTAGTTTGTTCTTTTTTGTTACTGAGCTGTATTTCATCGTGGTCTATGTGTATTTCACATAGTCTCTGTCCATTCATTCATTGATGATCATTTAGAGCGTTTCCAGCTTTTTACTATTACAAATAATGCTGCTATGAACATTCATTTGTGGTGTTTGTGTGATTGCCACTAAGTATGCTAAGATCTTTGTGTGCACTGACATATTTAATCTCCATAACATCATATTATCAGCTCCATTTTACAGACAGAGGAACTGTAGAATTACAGTGGGCCCAGGATGCAAACAGCCAGTCTGATTCTAAATCCCCTGTTTTTAATCACTATATTTTCTACTTCTGTAATGAATCAAATATGATACTTATTTTCCATTACAGTATTTCTATTATATTGATTCATATAGTTAAGTGAGGATTCTAACTAATTTAGATCCACCATTATCATAGTCCATATCATAGTCCTTTAAAACTAGAATTTAGGTTAATACTGTGGTTTCCCCCCCCTCCATTGGATTTATTATAATTAGAAAGTTTTATGAAAAGAATAAAGGTGGCATTTACTTTGCCAGATTTATCCTTGTTTGCCCATCCCCTGTCAAATAGTATAGCACATAGAAAAGTAGCCTGTATATGTTTATTGAATTGATGTCACATAGTGTTTTTCCGCCTTCTTTATTTATTTAACCTTTTTTCTATATATCCTAATGTGAAGAATTTAACGTAGATCATGGTTTCAATAAATGTCTGATTAAATATCTTGAAAATATTACAGCTGTTTTAAAATACAAACATAGGTCAGTAAACATAGGTTGACTATAGCTCAAGCAAAATATGAATAATTAAAATGCTTGCCTTTCTGCGGGTGATATTTTTTGCATGTGGGAAGTGTCCTCAGTGTCACAGTAGGGACCACATGATCTCAATTGGTCACGTTATTGGTGCTACTGACTTTGCTTGATTTGAATGGTGTGCTCTCCACTAGATTGCTCCACTTTAAAGGTTCCCCCCTTCCCCTCTTTTTAATGAGCTTGTACATTGAGACTGTGTGACTATCCCATTCCCCAATACTCAGTAGTTTTTAACATTTATTGATGAGTCTTGCCTAAATCAATTATTACTATATTTTAGCATTACTACTGATCTTTTGCATTCAGTGTTATCATCCATTCCTGTCATTTTTCCATTTGGATGTTCAAATTGCTCCAAATTTGGCTCTTTGTTGCTCCTTTAAGCTGGTTTCGGTATTTTTTTGACACGTCCCTATCGGATCTTTAACATTTCCTTACTTTAAATGCTTTTGGCAGAGCAGGTCTGTTTTCTTTGTGTGTTTTCCTGCCCAGCCCAAGAATCAATATTAAAAATTTTTTTAATAACAAAGGTTATTATCAATCCATTGAGAAAAGACTAGAAATGATGCTGGTGTAACCTGCCATTCACCTGGAGAAAATAAAACGGGGCTTTCATCCTCTTCTGGTAGAAACGTGAGCCTACCTTGAACAGAGGGCACACTCTCTGAAGGCAGTCTGTCCACTGTTTACTCACCTGCAGGTCTTCTGAGAATCCATCCTGTCGAAATCAAAGCCCAGCATGTGGGACGCATTCTGACAGTATTTTTTTGTGGCTTTATTTGTAGCGGAAAAGCGCTGACTATACAGTGAATAATTATTAAGAGGAATGGTTGCATACATTTGGTTTTTTCCTCTCTAAGAAATAATGGGGATAGCATTAAAAAAGAGTGAATAAAACTATAGCGGGTGTTGTTTGAGAAGAGAAAAGCGAGATGCAAAAATTATTGTCTGCATGTGAAGCATTCCTAGTAAAATTACGTGTTGCTAAGGGTGTCATGCTTTGAAGAAGAGAATTTGTGAGCTCTCCATGACAATCCAGGATGTGCAGGGCTTCCTCTGCTCAGCAATGTCATAGGGGACCCGGGCCAGGGGGAAGTTCCCCCGTCCTTGACATGTGGCGTCTGTCTCTGGGTCTGAGGTGTGGGTGGCCCGCCGGTACCTTATCGGTCAGTGCCATCCTTCAGAAGGAAAGAGAGCCCAGGGGGAAAGCCACTTTCGTTTTGAAAATGTCCAGTCGATTTTGCCTGAATCATTC